TGCCAAAATAAGAGCTGCCCACAGCTGAGGCCTGGCTGTTGCTGAAAAGCACTTCTAAATGCTAACTTTAATGAAGGGGTTCGTTAAAAATCACAGAATCATGAAGACCAGTCTTTGTGTCACTTAGTACTAGATACAATTTTCTGGATATGGTAATTATTTTAACATTATTTTATCTTTTTATGTTGTTTTCCAAGACAGGATAAACATGGTATATTTCAGACAATGAATAACTATTTTCTGTACTCTGATTAGCACTGTGCCCTGAACTTTTCAAAATAACATTAAGATCGTACGTAACATGCATAAAGTTTTCCACACTGAGCTACACTTGGTGTGCAAATTCTAAGGAACTGCAGTTGCTTAGAAGGCTAACTTATTTACCATATATTACATTAAATCCTTTCTTTTGTTCTGGGAAAATGTATTGAGTTACACCTTCCAAAACAATCTAATAGCTGTACCATAAATGCTGGGCACCTCCTAGCCAACACTGCAGGAACACAGATGTCTTTTACAGCTAATTCAACTGGAAACTGTGAACAGTTAGCATATTATAAGCTCTTCAGCTACATTCTCTCTCTCTCTCAAACCATAGCAAGGCAGAATGAACAGACTTAGGTTGCTGCCAAGGAAGTTGTGTGAATCGCACAGTTCCTGAAAGTATACAATTAAACTGTTTAAAGCTCCTTTTTAAATGCTACTTGCAAGAGACAAGAATCTCCGCAGCGTAATGGAAGGCTTGAAATTTTCCTGTGAAAGCACTATTCACAATTATATATGCATTTGGTAATTAAATGAGACCATCTTAGCCACTAATATACAAAACATAGCTTGTTGTGAGACATTTCACTTTAATCAGATGTCTGCCTCCTGTTTGAATTTACTGGAAAACCAGTTGGCAACCAAGGTGGAAAATGGACACATGGTTTTCTCCAGTACTTTGCAAACAGAAATACTGAAGGATTTAACTGTTTTTATTGAGCCTCACACTCATAAAGATACTTCAAGGGGAAAAAAAGAAACCCACCACGTCCCAGGCTAGAGTAAACTGTTAATCTTCTTTTGAAAGACAGAAAACTGAAATTGGGTAGAAAATAAAGTCACAATGCTGGGAAGGAAAATCCATTTCCATCATCAACACAAGTAATTATACTTTAGGACATAAAGAAGATGCTATTACCTGCACTTAAGTCCATTATAGACTTTGGAATTACTACCACAATATTGAGCTTTTTCTCCATATTTGGAAACACACAGCAACCTATAAGAAGGCAGTATGTCATACACAGAACTCAACTAGACTTACTGCTATTAGTAATGTATTAACTTTTTGACTCTCAGGAGAACTGAACTGATGAGTTCCCTTATGGGCCAAGAACCTTCATTTTACCTTAAAATCACTATATTCAGACTCCTATGCCTTAAACTATTGACTGGAACATTAAACTACTGCCTAAACTATTGTGAGATCATCTCTTATCATTATAGCTTGCTGATTGCAAACGATTTATTCCTGGTACACAATGTCTGAAGTGGAAATAATCTCAAACTATAATTTGAATCCAAATAAAGTTGACTCAAGTACCTTCGAATGTGCTATTTTTAATTCTCCATGGTCAAATATCTCATTACTGATACTTGGGTATTTTAGCTCAGAATTATTCAAGACTAACATATAGCTATATTTCTATTTATTAATGTTGTGAAATAAACAATAAATTATTGTCTTCATGCTTAGTTAAATTTCAATTTGAATTCACGCTAACTTATTTAACAAACCTTCTCCAGGAATTAATTTGTTTCTTCAATAAAGTATACTGGATTCCCTTTAGTAGCATTTTTGCAGCCACATAGGTGCAGGTCACTGAAAAATTCATGTGGGCATTACAAAATGCTGGTGGCATTCATTATCTAACTGGCAGTGAGAACTCTCTAGCTGAGCAAGGAATACAGCACTGCACAAGCGTGTCAAGCTTTCGAAGGAAATACAAACACAAGAATGGAGCATAGGAATGTCTCAAGATTTGGTTTCTAGTCATCTTATTAATTCTTACTCTGAATAATACAACCTTACAGAGCATACAGGGGTACTGCAGATTCAGAGTGGAGAGTTCACCCTTTCCTAATACTGCCAGATACCATACAATCACATATTCAATTGAGCACATACTACTGAACATTGTCCTGATCAGTATTTGTGGACTCCAGCTGAGCTCACTGCAGTGTAAAGCCATATTACTTGCCTGGCTCAGGAGAGTTCAAGGTTCTTGTTCCCAGCTTTGGAACTGTATTTTTAATTGCCTTCCATTACAGCTCTAATATAAAGTCTAAGCCCTCGATTAATAATGACGGAGTATTGGTGATGATCACATACTATGCTGCAATGCAAAGGTAAGCCAGAAAACAAAAAAGTTCACTTGTATGTCTGCTTTACGTATGTAAAATATAGTCATATGACAGGCAATGACTTAGTTTTAAGTTTCAAGTATGAAAAAGCAAATCCTCACAACAGCAAAATCAAGTATTACATGATGTGGTGGGTTGACCTTGGCTGGCTGCCAGGTGCCCACCAAGCTGATCTATCACTCCCCCCTCCTGCAAGGCAGAGGGGTAGAAAATAAAATAAAAAAAACCCTTGTGGGTCGAGATAAAGGAAGTTTAATAAAGAAAAGCAAAGGCTGCATGTGGAAGCAAAGGAAAACAAAAAAGGATTCATCCTCTACTTCCTATCAGCAGGCAAAGTCCAGCCACTGCCTGGGAAGAAGGGCCTGAGCAGTCGCAGCGATTCCTTCAGAAGACAAATGCCTTAATAACGAATGCCACCCCCTCCTCCTTTCTCTTAGCTTTTATTGCTGAGCACATCATATGGTATGGAATATCTCTTTGGTCAACTTCGGTCAGCTGTCCTGGCTATGTCCCTTCCCAACCTCTTTCCTACCCCCAGCCTACTGGCTTTTCTGGGAGGGGTGTGTCTGGGCCAGGCTTGATACTGTGAGCACTGCTCAGCAGTAGCCAGAACACTGGTGCCTTCTCAACACCTTTCCAGCTACAAAAACAAAGCGCCGCACTATGAGGGCTGCTATGGGAAAAGTTGACTCCATCCCAACCAGGCCCAATACACATGTCCGTACAAAGGAAACTTAATTAAGAACTCCTTTTGAACTTCCCTAGTTAAAAAAAAAAAATCTTCCTGTGAACTACTTCCTTATATTTTACACAGCAATTAATAACACTGAGCATTGAGGGGGGAGGGGGAGAGCACCTTCCTGAAGAAATGTTTTCTTCCAAATTATTATTTCTATAGATTTTATTCCTTTTTCCTTAGAACTGTATGAACTGAAGACCAGGTCAAATAGTTATCTGTCAAATTGCATTGACGATCCCGAGACAAACGATAGGTTCCCTATAAATGCCTGGCTATTTGATACTTAGAAAGGATTTCACAGCAGCCAACCTGAAGAGCTGGGAGGCAGAGGAAAAACACCCATATTTTTTTCCTCCTCTCATATTTAGCATCTTCCTTTTTCTTTCTTTCTTTCATTCACTTTGTCTCTCTCTAAGTTGGCGAGAAGAAAAGACATTTTGAATGCCAAATGAAATTGCTTGTCACATGTGGTCTGGACCCCATGTGTTTTTTACATTCACACATGGTTTAACATGAGACAGAAAATTCGCCATTCAGGTTTGACAGATTAAAATAGAACAGCTTTTGAGATAATGGCTCCTACAGTAGTAAGTATATTTCACATAGTCTGGTGTTTGTTTAGTCTGTTTATAGAAATACACTGTGTTGGTACAGCAGATTTGTTTTGGTCAACTTATGGATGCTACTGTAGCTTTTTAGATGTTGCTGAAAGCTACTACAGTCTTTTGTCCTCCTGTTTTACACAATGACATTGTCTCAAATTTGTGTGTTAGTTCACACAGAAACCTGAAAGGAGAATTTCCTGTCTTATTCACTGCATTGATTTGTTTGTACTGAGAGCACTCTTCCTTCTTCACTTAATAAATAAGAACGAAAATGCAAGCATTTGTAAAAAAATCACACAATCTAATTTCTGTTCCAATGCTGACAAACACCCTGTGTTATGTCCCTCAAACTGCAACTGTTTATATACAAGTCAGCAATCTTTACTGATGACTCATGCTACTGATAATACCTCTGAATTACCAGGTCTGGCTTCTGGACAAAGAAGCTCACAGCAATACTACTGGGAATCACGGTCCCTCAGTAGACTGATATGGTAACAAGGTTAGCAGGAGACGTGGTATTGATACTGGTAACCTTCGCAATTTGCGCTCGTCAATCCAGGGATTAATTTTACATGTAATGTGCTGTAGCTAGGTTTTTAATCTCAGCAGAGGAAAGTCCATTAGGTTTTATGCTACCTATTAAAAAAATGAAACCTACTAATAGATTATCTTTAAAAAATGCTCCTCTTTGCCATCCAGGCAAACCTGTTCTCCAGAAAGGTAAATAACAGTACATCCCTCCTCTACAATCTCTGCAAATTAAGTCTTACTTCTGAAATTGTTTTCATTCATTTAAGCTCAATGGATTTGTTTTGCCTAGTGAAATGAATGCTGGTATGTGTGAAATCAATCTTGATATATGGGATATAATTTGTTACTGTAGGAAACCTCCGAGGGTGAATATCATAAAGAACGAAAATTATTTAAGACAAAGGACAGTGCTAACCCAAGTACAAACTGGCTCTGTAGAAATTTGCAATAAAACCCATATCTTTCACAATGATCAGAGCAGGGGTGTTCTGGACCAAGGATGTTCCAAAACTGGGCATATGCATGGAAAGGGATCAATTCTCTGACAGCCCTTACAAGGTATTTCTGTAATTGCAACAAAAGTCCATATTTGAAATGGGTGAATTCCTCCAAAAACCCTCTGATATAAAATGGGTTTTCCCCATATACTTCAGTGGAGGATTTCTGTAATTAAAATTATTTCCTTACTCAAATCTTCAAATGAAGTTTTATACCTGCAAGATCTTCTTTGGAGGAAACCAGTCGAGGAGAGCTGTTACCTGGCTCAATTCTTAATGATAATCTGGAAAAACAAGTTTTTAGAGAAATTAACAAAAAAAAAATTCTCAATAAAAGTTGAAAGAAACTGAAGAAAGTAATTATATTGGCAGTGGTAAGCAGGAATTTTACTTTCTTGGAAGTGTAGTTACCTATTTTGGATGTAACAAAACAATAAATTTTTTAAAGTAAATCACTACCTGTTAGATCCAAGAGAGAAACTGTGAGGGAAGTCTATGAAAACAGAAATGGAAACTGATGTTTTATACTCCCTATCAGTATAAAAATGTAAGTTCATATAGTCTTTCACCTGAAAAAAAAACCCTCCAAAAGTTAGTAAATTTAGATACAAACCTAATAGCAAAAATTTTATTCCCTGTGTGCATGAAAAGTGAACTTATTCTGTTACCATGTGGAAATATGCACTCAGAAATAACTATTCAGAAATATTAGTTACTATGTCTTATAGAAAAGGAGCATAAGTGGGTAAAGTGACCAACACTTAATAGTAAAAGAAGATAATTAGAAGAAAGTTATTAATATTATATGCCCCTCTGCCTCAGTCCATGTGTTTTATGATGCACTCACTGTTGCCTTATCTCAGCACTCCAACACATGTCTTGATCTTCCAGTGCACATGACTTCTGCACCTCTCAGGTTTATGCCCTCTTAACTTGACATTCATGGGTCCTTTGTTCTGTACCAGTTAGACAAAAAAGTATGGAGGACTACAATGTTAAGTAAATTTTAATGGAATAGGCATAAAACCAAAGGAAGTAACTGCTGTCACTGCACAGCATTAAACACATAAAAAAGTTGTGAAACTTTCAAGCTATAGACTGCAGTACTCTGCTGTACGCAAACACCAGTGAAAGTGTTTTTAACTTTAGATCAAAACATGCAAAGGGGCGGGGGGGAGGGGAGGCAGGAACCTATGACAGCATTTCAAAATATCACGTATGGCTTAACCATCACTTTCCTTACTATCTTGTCTTTCATGTACACAGAATTTTAGGGGCAATACCTTCCAGTCCATTCTCCACAGCATTCAAACATAGTCAACTATGTTTTAGTGTGAAGTTCGTTAACAAACCTATTGTCCCTTTTCATGTTTTAGAATTTCTATTCTTCTGATAGTACCAGATTCTTTTACCTATCCAAAGTAATGTATTTCAAGTAGGTAATGAATCATTCCTTTCCAGACTATCTTTTCTTTCTGTCAACATGATTTCTGTGACCAGTGTCCTGGTTTGGCTAAAACAGGA